ACGAGCATTGTACCTACCGGCCGGTATGATACGATCAGTAACGTACGCCTAGTGCAAGTTACGGCTCACTGCTCACTCACTAGCTACTCGTGATTTATTAGCCTCACACCCTCTACTGATCTAGCTCGAACAGACAGCACYGTACGGTGTACGGTAGACCCCTAGTACGGTACCAGTACCTACCCGTGACACAATAATTTTTTCGATCACTAGTACAGTACCAAGTACTGTACCTACGATATGTACCAGCATGATACAGGTATCATTGCCGATGAAAGTTCACAACGAAAGTAGGAAGCGAATCGTTCGACCATTGAAAAAAATACAGTACGCCCGGTATCTACCCTAGGCAGTTCGTGTCCATGAACGTGACACAAAAAGATCATTGACACGCTTCCGCAAGAGAAAAAATCGATTACGTATGCTAGCTGGAACTTGAGGTTTTGTCATTTTGAGTTTTCTGCCAGTACAGAATGAGGTTGGAGCGACACGGCACGGTATCGTGCCGGTAGGTAGTACTGGAGGGTACGAGTACGTACAAAACGGAGCTAGATTCGGTGAAGCTTCAGAGAATTTTGCATTTCTTCAATCTCACTGTATTGAGGTATCTAGCATCTACGCTGCCCAAAGAATAGATCGTTTCGGTTTCTAAATCATTTTCATCATGGACTCTCTAAAATCCTTCGTTCCCTTGCTCAAGACCGCAGTAGACGATACCATCGGTTTGTTTGGTCCGGGTTTGATCATTAGTGTCGCTGCAGGATGCGTCGAACACCGAAAATACTGGTCGGCCTACGTCAAGGAGTTCATCGGCACCTTGTTGATGGTTGTCTTTACCTTTTCGGCCGGAAAATGGATCGGAGCGGACGATCTCATCGTTKCTTGGTCTGCCCATGCTGTTGGTGTGGTCCTAGCTGATTACATTGGTACGTATGTGAAGGAGTTGAATTGGTTTTAATGAATTTGAAGTAAGAAGAGCAACGGGTAGGCGAAGAAAGATTTGTTTGGAAATTAACAACTAGGTGGAAAGTGGAAAGACTCGATTCCGAAGTTGAGATATCTCACAATGTACCTTTCCGGTTCTTGATTGCTTCCTATTTGTGAAATAATTTGTGTGTGGATTGTGCAAATATCGTTTCAGGCGGGGGCCAACACGTTAATCCCGCAGTGACAGTCTCTATGTGGGCTCTGGACAAGTGCTCGTACACCGAAGCTTTTGTGAGAATCGCCGGTCAGATGGGTGGAGGACTTGTAGCATTCCCTCTCTTCCACTATATTGCTGTCACGCTTAGCATGACCCCCTTTGGCGGGCCCGAATTCGTCAAAGAGAACGACGTCGATGCCTTTGTCTCGGAGTTTGCTGCCACGTTTTTGCTCATGTGGGCCATTTACATTGTAAGTTTTCGCCCCAAGAATCGGAATGAATGGAAGAATTGTCAATGTGAAATTCTTGTTGACACTCCGATAACTTCTTGCTTTTGCTTTTCCCTCTCAATTTTTGGATGTGTCTTTTCTGTTTCTTTTCAAAACCAAAATAATTGACCATATTAATAGCTGAACTGGGAATTCAATTTCGGAAGCTACCATTACATCATCAAACAAACGTTGACAGCCGTAGCCATCCGCGCCCTGATCGAATTCTTCCCCACCGCCGGACCCGCCATGAACCCTATGTTGGCTACCTCCTGGTACGTCTTTGGTGTGGGCACCGAGGGAAGCTATCCCGAGGATACAGTTCACTACTTTGTCTACTGGTTCGGCCCTTTTGTGGCTGGAATTTTTGCGGCGATTACCTATATTATTCTCGACGGAAAAGACAAGCTCTTTGGCGTCGTTTCCCTCCCCATCGGTCCCCTCCGATCAGCGGCTCCGGAACCAAAGGCAGAGAAGTCGAAGAAGGAGTAAACGATTCGGTCAATCAATGGACACAACGCATCTGAAGAGATTAATTGAAACAAAGAAAACTTTCTTTTGTTGGGTGGATAGAGACAGTATGGGTTAGAGTCGCTCGTCTCCGGAATGCCAAGGCTGTTATTGGGGGATAAAACGATGTAGGCCTTGGTGACGACCTTACCCATASCGGAGACCGAACACCTGTTTTTTCTAGTAGTAGTAAAAACTGTTTTAATCCAACTCAATTCACGCCAATATTCTATTATTCCGAACCGTGTGCAAAAATGTTATCAGTGTGCCAACTCTTCGTATGAACTTTGAATTTAACGAACTTCTTCCATTTCTAGTGGTCCAGTGACAGGCACCACGGGAGTATTTTGATGTAACTGCTTTTCATGGTATCAGGATCTCTTATTGTGTCGTCTTTCCTGGTTCAAAGCTTTGGGCATTCGTATGTTTCAAAGGAATATAAGGCTTTCTGCCGGGATGGCAGCCACTAACCTGATCATAATGGGCTAATAATACCCTTTCTATGGTACTATCTTCATCACATGAGCACGAATCTATTTTTGACGTACAAAAAATATTTTTTGAAGGAATAGATACTACATGCATGTGTAGTATACTAAGCAAAACAAAAATCAAGAATCAAAAATTAGAGCCGGCTTCTTTTCAATTGATCCTGCTCCTGTGCTTCCTGTTTAGCCATCACCCACTTCTTGATTTCGATTCGCGCCACCGACCGCCGATGGACCTCATCGGGGCCATCGGCAATTCTCAATGTCCTCATCCCGGCCCAGGCAGAGGCCAGGATAGTGTCCTGGCAGACACCTAGCCCACCGTGGACCTGCAAGGCGCGGTCAATGACATTCAAGCAGAGGGCCGGAACCGCTACCTTGATGCTGGAAATGTGTTGCCGGGCGCCCCGGGGTCCGTTTGGAGATGTGTCCATGCGATGAGCGCAGTCCAGTGTCAGTAAGCGAGCTTGTTGGAGATCGTGAAAGGATGCGGCAATRTCTTTCTGGACACTCCCGTGCTGGCACAAGAACTTGCCAAAGGTTTTTCGTTGCGTGGATCGCTCCAGCATCAGTTCGTAACACCGCTGGGCCAATCCGATAGATCGCATGCAGTGGTGGATTCGTCCCGGTCCCAGGCGAGCCTGTGAGACCTTGAAACCGCTGCCCAGACCACCTATCAGGTGCTCTTGTGTCAGGGGAACATTCTCGAGACCCACCTCGGCGTGTCCAAAGGGGGCATCATCGTATCCAAAGACCTGGAGGGCCCGGATCATTCTAACGTTTGGGTTGGGAAGAGGAACCAAAACAATGGTGTGCTGACCGTGCAGATTGGCTTTTCCGACACTGCTATTATCTGCATCATTCCCTTCGCCTTCCTTCTCATCGACAATCTTGGCAACGCAAATTCCGATCCGGCACCGGGGATCCATAGCACCAGTCGACCACCATTTTCGTCCCTTCAATGTATACGATTGATTGCCGTTCTGTTTTTGTTTGTGGTTGATAAGAACRGTTTCTAGATTGGTTGGGTCGCTGCTGGCCACGTCGGGTTCCGTCATCAAAAACGTCGATCGAATTTTCCCCTCCAGCAAGGGTTTCAGGTATTGTTTTTGTTGTGCCGGTGTTCCAAATTCCAACAAGACCTCCATGTTGCCCGTATCGGGAGCAGAACAATTGCAGGCCATTGATCCCAGTTCGATCGACCGGCCCATGCTCTCGGCCAGTATTCCATACTCCCGGTAGGTCAGGGTGATCGAAGGACAGAGCACGTTGTTAGGGTCCACCGGACCGAGCAGTTTTGGATCCCAGTGGGGATATTTCAGCAGCCGCGGCGGCAAAAACAAGTTCCAAAATCCCAGTTCTCTCGCACGGGACTGCAACCTCGACAGACAGGGAGGCATGGCATCTAAAGACCACCGGCTATCGTTTCTTCCCTTGCCATTGCTGTGACGCCCCTCCATGTGTTCGTGATACTCGGCTTCTGCCGGTATGACTTCCTGTTGGATGAATTGATCCAAACTTTCCTTKAGTTTGAGAACCTCGGGGCGGAGGTATGTTAAGGACGGTTCGGGGGATGATGATGACACCATGTTTAATAGATTCTGTTGGTGTTTAATATTTTTTGAACCAGTTTTCGTGTTGTGGATCTGCTTTTGACTCCAGTTCTGTAGGTTCGTAGACTCTGTTTCGTCTTTTTTTCAGGCAAACTTGTGAACTGTGGATTACTTCTTACGAGGCAATACTGCTGGTACTACTCATAGGAGGTACAGTACCAAGTACTTTCTAGAGGTAGTAAGAATAGAGTGAAATTAGGTGGTCGTCATCGTTGATGACATGAATTACTGTAAATCCAACTTCGAAAAGGTGACGAAGAATTGTGTTCGGCTTTTCAAATAGAGATATTGTCCTCAATTAGGGGGACTAGAAAAAATTATATGCAGGTCTTTCTTTACCCCATTTTTTAAATCAATTTTTGATTTTTGAAGGTTTGGGTCGTGCTTGCGCCACGAAAAAGATCCCCATGATGTGTACGGTACATAATGTTTCATCTTCCATCACGATAGCATCTCCACGCCCGAAAGAAAAACATGACACGACACAAACAAAACCTGGACACCATATCGCCGAATACTGGAAGCACACTCCGATTTCGAACATTGAATAGCTGGGACCGAGGATCGTAAGGATGGGTGTCAAAAAACACAATAATAACTCACAATCTATGCCTCATTTTACGTTTTGGTCCATTCTGCGAAGCTACGATTCAAACAAGTCAAATGCAATGGCATCGTTCTATCACCAAAACCTGGTGACATCCAAATGTTCTTTTGGCGAGCAACAAACCACCATTCCCCGCTCTATAACTTTTGGACCTCCGCGACAAGATGATCATCATCATCTTTTTGATCTTCGCGATAAAAAAACACGACGACGACCGCCGCAACCCCTTAATGCCAATGAGATTATGGCAATCTCTTGTCGGATCATGGCATCAGCGAATCTTCCGTCGCCCCACAGCTCATGTTTTCTGGGTGATACCAGTTTCATCGCACAACGCTTCGTTCAGTGTCGGGAATCCTTCCGCTCCCAGAACAAGCCAATCGTCGTCCGGGTCGGCTTCCATTTTACACAAACTGAAACGCATTGTCGTTGCGATGATGYTGTCATTCAAAGCATAAGAAAATATGGATTACAAACAAACCGAAAACCCAAGAACGGCGCCGTTATGGGAAGGGGAATCTACATAGCGGAAAATCCTCATGCTTTTTCCTGCTATGGTAATGTTGGAATCGTGGTCCTCTTCCTAGCTGGATCGATGCAACGATGCAACGGAGATACAAAGGTTAGAAGTCAAGTAGATTCCGTTATAGGCAACGCAGTCCAGAACTCATATTCGCGCTACTACGACCAAATCGTCTTGCGACAGGCCGATCAGGTCCTTCCAGTCATGGCCTTTCCTCGGTTCGCAACTAACAATGCAGAGAGATTGTATCAATTTCATGTTCAGTTACAGGAACTAATAGACCGGACTATCAACTACCCCGAGGATTATCGTTGTTGTCCGCCTTCAAAATCTACTTTTGCGCGACGAAAGACCCCCGTGCAAAGAGTTCACCCGAATTATCTCGACATGCAATTCAGACATAAGCTRAGCATCAGATTCAACAAATCATACGACTTAGAAAAAAGAAGAAACCTATATGTATTCCACGCCGATGGTAGGGTCACTCATAAGATGTCTCCGTTGGGGCTTTGTTTTTAAGAAGGCTAGAAGTTCCGCAGCACAAACAATCCTACACTGAATTAGTATCATACAGATTACGAACAAGAATTATGTCTGGTTGGTAGATAAGAAAGGGTACTTCTCTTGCCAAAAAAGAAGGTATTCTTAACGTCTTACATT